AGTAGGACCCTATCCTACTAGACACTTCATTAGAATTTCTACTAAGTAATCAACATATAATTATAATATTACAATAATTATAGATGACCCAACTTATCAATAAATATGGCTGATAAAATGATAACCATTAACAAGTTTCATCTGGTACTGGTAAAAATGAATCCCTCCAAATTAACTACAATTAATCTGTGCACCTAAATTAAAAGAATGCATAACCATCATAAAATTATAATTACATTGTTTACTTATTTAAACCAGAATATATCTTACAACGCCTGAAATTCATTAAACAATAGCCAAGCAATCATTTACGAGTAATTGCGATTTTGAGGTAATAATTTATTAATTCTCTGTAACAAATCAATGCATGTCGGAAGCCTTATTCAAAGCCAGAAAGATAGATTCTGGTGTTTTAGCAAGAAATGACATTTAGTATGGATACCTATCAAAATTTAACGCTCCGTTTTATAAGGCATATACAAATTTTAGAAATGTTAATGATTTGGTAACCAGTGATTGTAACAACCAAAACGGTATCCAATTATAATACGCGTGTGCTTAGTTTACCATCAAACCGTGGATACATTCAAATTTTTTAGGCTGCGAATTACATTTTTTGACAACGCGACCTGATGTATAGAGCTGTACAATGTGCATTCTCCGCTCATGGTGCCTATCAGTTCTGGACTGTAGTGTATGACAGCTCATTTATTATATTATGCAACTGTGAATTATTATGTCTTATTTCATACCGTGCACCTCTAATTAAGAGTTTAAAGAGGGATTTTATGCCACAATTAAGACAATACACGACCGTACAATGCCAAGCGATAATTTACGACATCTAAGCCTTGTTGCATCAGTAATCATCAAACTGATAAAAAATAATAAATGTTGTAATAGCATATGGTATCAGTGACCATCATTATACTGAGTATCCTGCGAGTTGCACCAAATAGTCTTGCGAGAACAAATCATAACATCACAGAGATTTTATTTTGTTTTATTTATTTATTCAGTAAGATAGAAACTGGATTACCAACACTCATTCAGTTAGGCTGCAATATCATTATAGACTAAGTGTGGGTAATATAGGCTACAGATATCAATATAATAAAAATCCGAGAAAGACATATTAATCCTGCTAGCAGTATCCTTATTATTTCATTCAGATTTGAAACTATGAAATAGCATGAAGATTAAATCTAATAAAATTTCAAAACGTGGATTAATTTGAAGTGATAATAAAGATCTAACAACTTACGATACGATATATATCCATATAAAATTAGAGTCGTCGTGTTTCCACGTTCGTTACGAGAGCTTTTATACGAGTATTATTGAAGATATCATGGCTACCAAAAGTTTATTGAGCCAATTATTTATTACGTATTGAAGCGTAGTACATCTCAAGAATTTAACTTGCTATGCTACATGTACGGTAGAATCTATGTTATGTTATTTATATAATTAAAAAGACTAAAAATTATAATGAACTAGAAGCTAGCATGAGCTTCAAAATCTTTATTCACGACACCACTAGGCCCGGATGTTGGTTTCGTCTCTGTTAATGAATTCAACTCAATATCTTTGTTACTCTGCTTGTCTCGAACCATTGGTTGTTCAAAATGATGATCTAGATTTTCTTGGCTTTCATCTTTTTTCGCTACACGATTGCGCCTTATATTCTTTTTGTAGTATAGAGTCCACGCCAAAATGATGATAATTATTAATAC